GTTAAACGAACGAAATTACACAAAAGGCCCCACCATCTTGGTCTTCATATCTTCGAACGAAATCAATGATGCAGTGGCATCAATAGGTTAGGATACTATTCGATAAAAATTGTTTTAATGAGCTAAATGCATTATAGAACGCATATCGACATATCTGCAAGTCGCCTTAGATAGTAACTGAGTTGCATTTAGCCAAACAGCAGTAGAGTTTAGAGACATGAAGAATTATTACTTAATTTTAACAAGGGTTTAACAGCCCCCAATAATGTTCAATTGTGATTTAAGGATTGATAATGTAGTTTTGCTCAAATAAATATGAAATATCCTACGATGATATTAAATTTCACTTGGCATTACCTTCCATAAGATTTATCATTTAGTGTAGACTGTTGTTTCAACCTCGCCCGGGTCCAATCAGCATTTACAAAAGGATTTAAAACTAGGTTGCGTACATCATGGAGGCACTTTATCGCTCAGCAACACAGCCACTAGTGCTAATGTGTCAACGGACAGACCACGCATGTCCCAACCCGCATTCGAAGTGAGATGACAATAAGATGGGCATGCACTTGCCATTACAATTGACGAAATCCCTTATATTCTGTATGCATATTTCTAAACTATCAGTAATTCTTGGATAAGAATTAACAATATCAATGGTCTTATCAAAAATGTGACATAAAAGGGGGCTGATTCGTCTCAAAAGTCACATCTCCCTCGTGACCCACTGATTGGCTGAATAGCGGTGGTGACGTGTCGGCTCAGAATAAAGTTGAGGGTGCTAATGAGGCCTAGTCGAGGTCGAATCTGAAGTTCACCTTGAGTGAGAAGACCTTTTGGAAATCAAGGCTAAGTGGAATTCAATTGTACCGTAATGTTTGCTCATATCAGTGCGAGAAAACACACAATAGCAGTCCCCAGTCATCTTAAGCGGACCAGAATGAATAAATTGTACTTAGGTAATGATATTCCATAAATAGTTTCTTATCGTTTCCGGAAATAGACCTTGACTGTGGAGACGCTGGAGGAAAGCATTAGAACATTGGTTGAACACACATTAAGCCCTCAGAGGCAGCTTCATTCGCATGGCTGTGGAATCAAGACCAGTAGAAAAACATAAAGAGGAGGCTACAAACAAACAAGAGACTAAACCACCTCGGTTTTCAAAATTTGCGAAATTTTATGAACGAATCAAGGCAACTTAATCAAGTCAATTTTTAAAAATTAAAGAACGGAAGAAGTACAGCTTAGGAATGAGTAAAGGAATGTAAAGCCTACAGTTCCGTCTTCTCCAATCTCGTAGGCATCCTTCAGGAAATCCATGACCCCGGCCCCGATGCTGGTCTGTGAAACAAGGGCGCCTGGCCCCTTGGAAGAACCAGTATCTAAAGTCGTATTGGAGTCAGAGCCTGAACCAAACCTATTCGCCCCTGATGTATCAAACTGACGATCTGAGTGCTCTTCCTTCGAGTGGCTTGCCGCCGAGCTGCTCGTAGTTACACCATCAACGGTGTGTTCAGCTCGGTGCAATTGGCTGGTTGACGTCTTGGTGACTGGTGGTCCACCTTAATTTGAATTAAATGAGATGGAATATTGAAAATGCTAGAAAGATATCATAAATACATGGAATCAACGGATGACGAGAGTCTCAAAGTA